TCCCCTGGAACTGGAGTCACAATGGTTGTTAGCCACCACATGGGTGCTGAGAACTGCACCCAGGTCCTTTGCCAGAGCAGCAAGGTCACTTAAATACTGAGCCATCTGTCAGGCCTCAAGAGATTTTTCTTAATTGGGTGAATTGGGATGAGAAGACCCAGCTCACCGTGAGCAGTACCATTCCCTAGATTTCAATTCTAGACTGTTTAGAGAAAAGGAGCTGAAATGAACTTGCAGAGATTCTGAACATGGGATGCAGGCACAGATTTCAAGTCTCTTAGAATACATAAGGAAACAAGAGAAAGAGCACCTAGGATATCATCCCTGTTGTCACCAACAAGGACATCTCCAGTCCAGTATGGAGCAGGTGCAGAACAAGAATCACATGACAGAATTCTAGTATACCACTGCAGGGCAATTACATACAAAACCTGGCAAAGCCTGCTGAGTCACAGGTCCCGGTACACATGGGCTTCCTATAGCAGGCCACTGGAAGTGTCATCTGCCATTCAATAGTGCCCTCAGGAGACCTATGCTCTCGGCTCAGTTAACACACAGCTGCATCACCTCAGGGGTTTCTAGGATCTTGTGTCCATCCATTCCAAGATAGCTCTGCGGCATTTTAAAACATACACCACTGCCTGTTCATGGATGCTTCCTGAATATTGAAGATGCATCTCAAATACTAGGAGGCTAAAATGGAGTTCTCCCCTTGTGCTGGATAGCTTTAGTGTCAACTTGACACACCTGGGTTGAGGGAGCCTCAATCGGGGAATTTCCTCTATTGGACTGGCCTGTAGCCATGTCTGAGGGGCATCTTCTTGATGAGTGATGTGGGAGGGCCCAACCCACTGTGGGTGGTGCCACCCCTGGGCAGGTGGGCCTATGTTCCATAAGAAAGCAGGCTGAGCAGGGGCCAGGGGAGCAAGCCAGTAAGCAGCGTTCCTCCATGGCCTGTGCTCCAGCTCCTGCCTCCAGGTTCCTGCCCTGAGTTCCTACCTTGGGCTCCCTGATGAACTGCATGCGACCTGGGAGATGTAAGACAAATAAACCCTTTCCTCCCCAAGTTGGTATTGGTCAGAGTATTTTGTCACAGCAATGAAGAACAAACTAAGACACCCCTCATCCCTAACCCTACTTCAAGGCATCCTTGAAATACCCACCAAATGCCACAGGGAGAAGTCTGAGGTTGGTTCTCAATTCTGTCCTCTCCCTCAAAGTCCATATCCTGCACATCTCTAGAACTTTTGAAATCAATTTATAATATTTTATAAACAGCTACACTTCCTCTAGATTTACCCTCTCAGTTTCAGCTTCTAGCTCTTCTTAACTTGTATTCTAGATGAATCAAGTTTCCTTGATTCCTCAGCTCACTTTGTGTCCCACGAATCACATTTTCACACAGCAGCCAGAGGGATTTCCGAACACACCCATCTTGGAAAGATCCAGATGCTGTTCTTATCGCAAATCCCGCATTTCTCAACATTGTTTTCTATGTCATCTGGGTCCTACTCCCCTCTACACCCAGCCCATGTCCCAGCATGTCCTCATCATACTTCAATCAGTGCTCTAGCTTGTTTCTCCACTGCTGTGACAAAAGACCTTGACCAATAACAACTCGTATTTGGGTTACATCTCCTGAGTTCATTCCTGAGGGAGCCCAAGGTAGGAATTCAAAACAGGAACCTGCAGGCAGGAGCTGGAGCACAGGCCATAGAGGAATGCTGCTTACTGGCTTGCTCCCCTGGCCCCTGCTCAGCCTGCTTTCTTATGGAACATAGGCCCACCTGCCCAGGGTGGCACCACCCACAGTGGGCTGGGCCCTCCCACATCACTCATCAATAAAGAAGTTTCCCCACAGACATGGCCACAGGCCAGTCCAATAGAGGCAATTCACCAACTGAGGCTCCCTCAACCCAGGTGTGTCAAGTTGACACTAAAGTTATCTAGCACAGTTAGATTGGACTTTCTGTTTCTTAAAGTTCTCAACTGAGGCATTAATTCATTTTCAACTATTTCCTTTCCCTGAAGTTTCCAAACTCTTCACTTGGCTGTTCTCCACGTCCCTCAAGAATCACCTTAGGTGGTAGTTCTTTGCAAAGCCCCTAATCTAGAGAAGGTCTCTGTTCTCTCTCTTTAGATTTATTTTCTTCCAGGGAGTTGGCCACATTCTGTTACTTTGTGTTCTTTGTTTACTTGTGCAACATGCCACTGTAATTTCCAGCACATTGATACCAGGGAAGGTTTTTTGTTATTTTTTTCATTTTCTGTTTTATCTATACATACGTACATATGTGTGTGTCCATTCATCTACCATCCATCCATCCTTCCAGCCATCCAGTCTACTGTCAGTGAGGTATACAACATATACTCAGGGAATGAAACACAGTAACTCAGTAGCTGGGTGTTTTCACTTTTCTGCTTTCTGGCAAATCTAAGAATCCATTAGGGAAAATTCAAGATGTCATATAAATTCAACCGGAATAACTCAACACACATGGAATCTAAACTCCCCCCGACACAGGGCAAGAGAAATCCATGTTCTCTGCTTTCAGCACAGAGCCTTCGAGAGTTGCACACAGTCACCACCAGCAGCACAGTAGCATGGAATCTGTTCAAAGAATGGTGTAAGCCCACTGAGCTGGGCAACGAGGGAAATGAATGAAGAGTTTCAGCTTACAAGAAGAAGAATCTGCCTTTGGAACAGGCTTCGTCATTCACAAATCTGACCCGAGTGTCCTTAGATAATACAGGATGTAGGATGCAGAAACCCCATAGGAACGAGGACAATGACAGTGTGCCAAGAACACAGTGAACGCAGAGTCTTAATATGCATGATCCAGAGAGAATGAACTAAGGAGAGTCAAGCAAACTTCAGACATTTCTGACACCACTCTTCACACTCCACGGTCAAACCAGCTTTTGAGTTGCCACAGGTTTACATCTATTGGGAAAGATGCTTGGGTGTGTTCCCACAATCTTTTGAATTCAAATCCAGTGAGCGGGGCTGCGCAGGTAGCACAGTGGTAGAGTATATGCCAATCATGAGCAAGGCCTGGGGTTCAATTCCCAGAACCACCAAAAAAGTTAAAGAATCTGGGTAGTAGACATTCCTGAGCAACAGGCTACCGGGTTCCCACTCTGCTCCCCGCCTCTCACATCCTTCTGTACTGCCTACCATCAACAGTTTCACATAGTGAAGGCCCTACCAAGCTGAGTGGCTGAAACATTCTGGCATCTTTGGCATAAGATAATGCCCTGGGCAACCAAGTTAGAAAGTTTTGAATTCCAGTGTCAGTCCTGCCACTTACATGTTACACAAACTCTTGAAGACTAAATGTTCTCATCTGTAAAATGGGGATTCAGTAACTGTAGTTTGCTGTGCAAGTTCAAGGATATGAGTTCGATCCCCAGAACCCATATAAAACAACTCGGCATGGTTGCACACACTTGTAATCCCAAGGCTGGTGAGGCAGAGATAGGTGTATCCTTGGGGCCTGCTGGTTATTCAGCCTAGCTTAATCTATAAGTTTCAAGCCACCGAGAGACCTTGTCACAAAAACAAGATGGAAGGAGGCTGAGGAATAACACCTGGCCTTGATCTCTGGCCTCTACTCTCACGTTCAAACACACGCACATACCCATGTACCTACATAAATTTGCAACACCCAAACACATATACCTTTCCCCCCAAAACACAGAAGTAACTAATGCCTGAAGCCAGTTATCACAATGCCTAAGCACAGGAAGGAGTAGGGGGCATCCTGAGAAACAGTGATCACTGTAGCTGTACCTGATTTCTGCTTCCTCTGTGTGAGCAGAGAGAACAGTGTAACTGATCCCCTGGGATGGAGGCAGTGCCAACTCTGGTTCTCCTCTGCTTCTTCCTGAGTTATGAAAGACTTTTAACTCTTCTCCACACCTGAGTCCCTTCCTTTCTGACAAGTCAGTGGGTAAGGTTTGTTTGGATAGGAGACCTCCGAAGGCCCAAGTGGCAGAGACTTGGTCCCTAGCCCGTGATATGTTAGGTGTGTGGAACCTTTAACAAGCAGAGCCTAGTTGGAGGAAGAAGTGAGGTCACTGAAGGGGATTTTTATGACCTCTGACCCCCTTCTTTCTCTTTCATTCCTGGCTGCCATCTTCTTCCACAAAATAATCTTGATGCTGCCATGGCCACAGTACAAGCCATAGAGCCAATCTAGCAAACTGAGTCAAAACTGAATCAAAACAAACCTTTCCTCTATGTAAGATGAGCATGTCAAGCATTTTGTGACAGTATCAGAGATCTGAGTAACAGTAAGTTTTCTCCTCTAATTGTACAGTCAAGAAACTGAAGTTTAAATGAGTAACAAAAACACCTGGTTATGTTACTTTGGTAAGTATTAGTATCAGTTCTACACACACTGAAGTAAATCACTTGCTTTTGAGAGCAAACCATCAGTCCCAGGGTGGGAAGAGACACAGAGGACTCAGGGAAATGTGCAGACGTTAACAATCTTTCAGATTGAGGTGGAGATATGTTGGCTGTGTTCACTGTTTCTATGACCCACTTATATTTTTTCCATTTCTTTTTGTTTCGTTAGCAGAAGCTACAGCCTACAAAATTAAGATGAGTAAGCCCCTGCTGACATTCAAGTAAGCGTTTTTTTCTACCAAATAATCCTGCCTCCCAGGCCAGCTGATCTCTCCCGGGAATAGCTACAGTGGACTCTCCAAATGGCAGACACACGCAGGGTAATCTCACCCATATTCCTGCTGTGTTCCTTGGTGTTAATAAAAGGCAAGCAAACTGATGGAAGAGTGGTATTTAGAGCTGTACCGGAACACATTCTTTTGGCGACCCCCTGGATTTCTGCCCCCATTTCCTTAACTTACCGTTGCTAACTGCCTTTACACTCTGCAAAGAATTCTTAGGAAAGAATTGAGTGAAGAGTCCCCTGCGTTTGCTCAGACATCACTGTAAATGCCACAAGAGGCACAGAGAGTGAAATCGGGCTTACTTCGAAGACCAGTGTCTCGTTTGTGGGTCCTGGTGCATACAGGCGTTCCGGGCGGTTAAAGGAGCGCTGGTATTCAAACGTAGTCCCTGCAAAGGGGAAGTCCCCAGGCCAGTCGATGCTCCAGCCTCCTGTCAGGTAATACTTTTGACTGAGGCTTCGAACAGCAAGATAACTGGAGGAAATCTTCAGCTCCTGGATCTCGATGCTCCGGGCCCCAGCCGGGATGGTGACCACTGGATAATATTCTAAATCGAGACAGTAGAACCTTTCTGAGTTCAATATTGGATACTGGAAAACAGTGACTAGAAATGCCCAGCAGGAGGCAGTGTCCATTTTGATGGCGTCGCTCCCTAATATCACTCCTCCTCTATGAAGGAAAATAATCATTTCCTTTTCTTTTTTCTTAAAATTTTTTATTTTTGTGTATGTGTGTGTGTAGGGGGGGATAGTTTACCATGTACATCCAGGTGCCTGAAGAGGCCAGAAGACGGCATCAGATTCTCCGGAACTAGAGTTATGAATTAATAGCTGCCATGTGGGTGCTGGGAACCAAACCCTAGGTCCTTTGCAAGAGCAGCCAGTGCTCTTAACCACTGAGCCATCTCTCCAACACTGTATTATTTCATTTTCTGAGTGACAGAAACACCGGAGGAAGAGCACAGGGCCTCGCAATTTCGCAGCAAGCATGTCTATGGATGGGTGAAGCACGAGGAGGAGCACACTTCCTCCTCCCAGGACACTGAAGGGCTCAAAGTTGAGATTACCCTTTATTGCTTTTTACCCACCTGGCAACTTGGGGCCGTGTATTCTTAATAGTGCTATCTGGAAAACTGTGGCTCAACTTTAGTTTCCTATAAGACGGTCCAGTAATTCCTTTCAAATATGCGTGACCCATTTGGAGTCTAGATCCTCAAACTTCTGCTGTGACTTTAACAAACACATGTGAAGCACAAGACAGACCTGGTGGTTCAAACCACAAAGTAGGAAGGCTTTCCCTCAACATGCTGCTTTTTAAAAAATGTTATTATTACTGTGTGTGGGCACCAGCACGCACACACGTGCACATCTATGTGCTACAGTCAGAAGACAACTTTCCAGAGTCGATTCTCTTATTTTTTTGTTTTAAAATATTTATTTTATGTGTATGAGTGTTTTGCCTGCATGTACATTAGTGTACCACATGCATACTATGCCAACTGAGGTCAGAAGAGGGCACTGGATCTCTCCTGAAACTGGAGTTACATAGAGTTGTTAGCCGCCATGTGGGTGCAGGGAACCAAACCCTGGTCCTCTGCAAGAGTAGCCAGTGCTCTTAATCACCGAGCCACCTCTTCAGCCCTTCAGTTCTCTTCCTCCACTTTGGGGTCTGGGGAACAAACTCAGGTTATCAGGCTTGTACTGCAAGCTCTTTACCTGCTTAGCCACCTCACTGGCATTGATGAAACTCCTCACCCTGAAATTGTGCCCCAGCCTCCCTTGCACATGTGACAAAGCTATCATTGCTGTGTCAGGGAAGCAAGGACTACATTGGCACAACTCTCACCCATGCAGAGGCAGACGCTGAGCTGCACTAGCAAGGGCAGCAGGGCGGCAGCTCTTACCATTTGCCTTGTGTTGACTGAGGTACAGGCCTTTATAAAACTTGCATGTCGAATTATCGCCTTTGCAAACACCACATGCATCTGAAACTGCTTTGGAGCCAAGTTCATGATCGCATCCCACTGGCTGTCACAAAAAGGAGGGAAGGAGTCAAAGTTGAGAGAGGCCCTGGGGGGGCGGTGTCTAACTAGAGGCACACGCTTTTCTGTGTTTAAACACTAGGGAGGCAGCACCCAGTGAAACTTGCAGGCTCAAGTCAGACTGGGGCTCAGAGCTCTCCTCTGCTATTCTAGTTTGATAATATCGTTTTATTCTTTGAGAAGTTCATCCATGTTTACAGCTTATCTTGATCATATCCATCCCCTGCCCCACTCCAAATCCATCTGGAGAAAACCCCAGCCCCAAGCGTATCTCCCTCCCGACCTCATGTCTCCTTTTCTTTTTACTGTTTAAACCACTTAAACTAAGTAGTGCCAAGCATATGGGCATGAGTGTGGGGTTGTCCACTGGGGCATGGGCAACCTATTGGTGGCCAGCCCCCTGCTGAAGAAAGTGACTGTCCCTCCCCCGGCAAACGTAGGGCTTAGCAATTTGCACAATTGAGCAAAGGCTTAGATTTCACATTTGTGAAATGGGTCAAAGCATCACCTTCTAATGCCAGGTAAGAGTTTCAGGCCAGCTCTAAGAATGAATCACAAGCATGCAGGACAATATTTATTTATGCACATACCCATACACATGCACACACATGAATACACCACCGACACAACTATGTTCAAACACACATGTACATATACACACCAACACTCACTCACATGCACATGCACATGCATACATGAATACCCACTTGCATGCACACACATGTGCACACACATGAACACCCACATGCATACATGAACACCCTTCTACATGCACACATACACATAAGCATATGCATACCCACAAGTATACATGAATGCCTACCCACATCCACATATACACATATGCACATACATGCATACCTGAACACCCTGACATGTCCACATGCATGTATGCACACACATATACGCACCCACATGCATACATGAATACTCATTCACATGCACATATACACACACATGCATGCCTGAACATTCTTCCATATGCATACATACACACATTTATACACATACATATGTACAGGCACTTATATATCTGAATGTCCATTCACATATACACATGTACACACATTCATACCTGAACACCCTTCCACATGCACACATATGCACATGTATGCACACACATATGCACACCCACATGGATACATGAATACCTATCCACATGCACATATACACATACATGCATATGTGAACACCCATCCACATGCACACCCACCCACACATGCACACACATGCATACACACACACACACACACACACACACCAGAAAAGGATGAAGTGATCATAGGAAAATTTAAATGGAAGAGAAAGTGAGTCGCCAAGAGAATGATTAGAAATAAAATCAGCAACATCAAAATGGGCCCCCAAGGCTCTAATAATGCAGTGGCGTACATCATAGACAGGCACTAAGAGATTACCACCTTAATTATTTCATGGATACAAAAGTAAGTGTCATCATCACAGCATTCTACACAGAGGTAAGTGGAGCAAAGCAGAAATGGACATAACTGCACAAGGTCCTGCAGAAATGAGCGTGGGGCTCAGAGATGTACAAGATGTACAACATTCGGTCAACTCTCCCCACGTCTCCTGCACGGACTCTCTCAGGAGTGCTCATGGAACACGTTGGATATGTTGAAACACAAGCATGGCTGTGCACTCTGAGGCAGGAATGTTCTCTCACCTCACAAACCCCATCGATACAAACATCCTTTCTGTGTGGGGAGCAAGGTGTTCCGTCTTTCACCTTGCCAGACATTGCGAAAAAAAATTCAAAGTTCTCGGCCTTGCAGTAGAGTTTGCATCGATCTTCCTCTAGAGGCAAAGACATGAAAAGAGGACACAGTCAGGAGGAGTTGGGAGGAGACAGACAGACACCAAACAGTGATTACACTGACTCAGAAAGCAGCTGTCCTCATAAGGACAACATCATATACAATTCTGTTCGCCTGCATGTTTGTGTACGAACGAAGACCACGTGTGTAGCTTTCAAAAGACAAATCCATTTAATTGTCTATATGATGTGGATTAAAGATTGATACCTAAGAATTCCTTTGTTTTGAGACAGGAGCTCACTATGTACCCCCCGGCTGGTCTAGAACTTGCTATGTAGAACAGACTGGCCTCAAACTCACAGAGATATACCTGCCTCTGTTGCCCTAGTGTGCTGGGATCAAAGGCACGCACCACCACATCTGGCTGGCTAGCTAAGACATTTGCATTCCAAATCTGTAGCAACCTTCATCATGTACCTGATTTCTGGGTGGGATAGCCAGCCTCCACCATAGTAAATACGCCATGCTTTGTGATTCCCTGCGGTTAGCCATTGGCAATATATTGGTGAAAAGTGTCTTGGTGCTCCAGTGAAAATTTATTTTTTCAAGCAGGTCATTTTGTATTCTGATGACCTAGTTTTCAGACTGGATCACAGTAGATCCAGCCTGTAGAAAGGTAAAGCCTGACACACTTCAAAAAGAAAGCATATGGTTGCCACTGTCTATAAAACACACCGAATAGAACCCTTACAGAGAAAGAGGAGCAGACGAACTCATCTTAAGGCTAGGACTTTCTGCTGACCATTAAGTCCCTGAGAAATTTCTGGTATCACAGGAAAGAGGGAAAAAGTATATTTATAGAGTGCTTGTTATCTGGAAGGAGTCCGTATGCCAATTCCTGTGATGGAGAGAGCTCTCTTTGGCCAGGAACTACAGATGACGTTTCTCACATGGGACCTTCCATAGACAACACTAAGCGATATCCCTAGCAACAGTTGTACAACAGATGTGTAAACAGTTCACAACAAAGTCCTATTTCATTAAAAAAACATCAAAAACGCTCTTCAATAAAAGACAAAGCTGAAACTTAAATGTGAAAAGATTAAATTATTGTGGTCAAGATATGCAGATGTGTGGGTGGATTAAATGTTAACTAAGACCATTTTTTTCCCAAATAGCAGCTTTATTCAATACCTCCTAAGTTTTCTAAATGAGATTAGGGAACACACACACACACACACACACACACACACACACACACACACACACACACAAACCTCTTTTCTCTCTCATTCCCAGGAATTAGAAATCTTGGTTTTTCCAATACAGATTCCCAGGCAAGTTTCTTAACTTGGATGTTAAAAACCAAACAAAAAGAAAATAGAAGTTCATTGTTAAAGGACAGATGTCTCTATTCATGACAGAGCCTTCCACTGTCCCTTCTGTTCGCTTTGTTGATGAGAGAGGGTCTCACTACAGAGCTCAAGCTTCTCGAGTGCTGAAGTTACAGGTGTGTGCCATCCCATCTGGACATCTCTGGTTCTTAAATGGTAGGGAAGTCACAGACTTTCAAATCATGGTCATTCTCTTCTGATCTTAAGTGTCAGACAGAGGAGGCAAGACCAAAGGCTTTCACTATGCTGTCTTGCTCTGCAGATGTGAGATCCTGAAGTTGTGGATGATGCCTCATTCACTATCATCTCTTATGCAGCTAGCAAAACTCGACAAGTCCTGGGGTGGGGGGTGGGGGGTGTGAAGCTGTATGCTCCCTTGTTAGCAGAACCCATGATTCCAATAGTGAACCAGCACGGAAGCCCCAAAGCAATTTTGCAGTTAACAAATTTTTCTAACTTTCCATTGGAACTTTTTAGAACGTACTGCCAGGACAGATTCCACCAGTGCTACATATGAACGAAACAGATAATCTCTGGGAAGGCTAAGGACCACCCAAGGAGCCGTAGTCAAGGGCAGAGGGGCAAGGGCAGAGGACAACAGAGTTTTAGAGAAGAAGCTACAGATGACAGACAGGGTGCTGTGGGAGGGTACAGCTGGGAGAAGCTGTATCTTCAGACACCAGAGGCAGGAACAGCTCACGCTTCCCCATTTGCCCATCTACTGGGGTCCACTGTACAGTAGCCTTCTTTGGTAATTGCTGGGCTTCTAGCTGAATATCTGTACTGATGGGCAGCTTGCTACTTACAAATGGAGTACATGCCCCTTTTGGATGGCTATTATTTGTTTATTAATTCATTTTAAAAGTCGCAGCTATCAAGGCCAGGTATGGTAATGTACATCTATAATCCCAGCATTTAGGAGGCTGAGGCAGGAGGACTCTGAGTTCCAGACTGAGCTGGGCTACATAGTGATATCCTGCTTCAAGAAAGAGGCACAGTAAACACCATAAACTAGTCATTAAATAAATATATTGTAAGTAGTGTTCCTATATGCTGTGGACACAAACATGCTGAAGATGGACCAAGGCTTGGTCCCTGTGCAACCTAAGTTCTTGCAAAGGTCATACACAAATGACTACTACGTAAGAAGTAAAGTCATGATGACTTACGAAGAAAAAAGCAGAACAGAGGCTTCAGAGAATAAAAATGATGAGAGACTTCTAGATAGACTGGCAAAAGAAGTCTTTCTGAGAAGCTGAGATTCCAGAACATTCTTAACCCTTGCCTTAATTGGGTTCTCTGAAGCAACTTCAAGAAAATCTGAAACACTTCAGTTTCAACATTAAAAAAAAAAAAAAAAAAAAAAAAAAAAAAATTATATTGGGGGTGGG